AAAATAAGCAACTCGAACGATCTGGAAAGGGCCACTCGAAGGACAAAGGTAACGCCACGACTCTCGCGATAGTACGGAAGTTGGGAAGAGTAAATACGCGCTTCCATTTCAACGGAAATCTGCGACGTTAACAGAGATCGAAGAAGCGCGAGTTCTTCGACGGATGGCTTTTGATCGCGTCGCGACGATAAAGGCGCTAAAATTCTTCTAAAGACGTACAATATAATATTATACTTTGCGGATCAGTTTATTTCGGTTGCGTGGAACTTGCCAACGATTCACCTTCGGTTGTCTCTAGTTTCCTGAACTGCGACTTTCTATTTCCTTCCGGTGTTTACGCCGGCGCGGGCGCACCGTTTCTCACGAAGGATTCGCTCGATAACGCTGTCAACTGTGCACAACATGATAACATTCTTCCTTCGTTACCACTTCTACGTTAACGTCGGCCGGCATCGATGCACGTCTTTCCACATACAGTTGCATGCAAAAGTTAATTAAAATAATTTTGGAATTAAATTATGTATAATAGGTGTAAAGTAGAAATACGAATATATCATAGTAAAGAGCTTTTATTATACTATCGAAATGTACAACTCAAAAATTGTATACAACAAGTAATAATTATTTATAACAAAACTAACAATTTTTACTTCTTCATAAGTATCCGGTCAAGTACAAAACATGGAGGAAAAACACGATAACTGAAGGAAAAATTGTTAAAAATGGTTACATATGTAACATTACCATCAATATTTAGTAACCATACCCTGTGAAGCTATCACGGCGGCATATCGATGAGGCATCGATTCAATAAGATTTGATGATTAGACTGCGGATCTTTATGCAAAATAAAATCTTCGCAAACGTGCCTACGAAAATTGAACCTAAATAAGAATTTATTCTATTCTGTAAATATTATAACGTGAACTTTACTTTCAATATTTTTTATATTTTTGCGTATTGTTTAAATTTTGTAGTTTCTTGCATATTCAAATTTCCTATAAATGCATAAAGTTCCGCAGTCTATTGATGATTCTATCTTGAGAGATATATCTCCACTCTTCTTGAATTTTTGTCCATAAAGCAGCTTTATTGGTACAATTAACAGTTCCTATTCTTAGATTAAACTCTTGCCATAAATGTTGTATAGGATTCAAGTCTGGAGATTGACTCGGCCAATCTATAATTCGGATCTTATTCTTCGTGAGAAACTCCTGAAGCAACCCAGACCGATGTTTTGTATCATTGTCTTGCTGAAATATCCATCCTCGTGGCAAATTTCTACGGGCATAAGGTAGCATTTGTTCCGATAGAATATCCCTATACATAGGAGCGTTCATAGTATCCTCAATTTTGTAAATTGGACCGACGCCTTTCCAAGAAAATACACCCCAAAGCATAATAGTATCTCCTCCGTGCTTCACTGTTGGTATTTGATATCGGAAGTCATTCCTAGTGCCTTGCGGTCGTCTAACATACCTTCTCCCATCATTTCCAGATATTAGGTTGTCCCAAAAGTTTCTTTCGCTTTATTAATAAGTAATACATGCACAATATTTTATGTTTCATGTTACATTACTGAATTGTGCACGATTCATTTTGCTCCATTACTGTTACAACATGAATATCTATGAAATTAGATTGTCTATTTATATAAACACGACCATATAAAATAATTGAGTGCAACTCGCGAAACAAACTGTCGGGACAACCTAATAAATTAATTTTAGTTTCATTCGAAAACAGCACTTTCGTCCAATCTTTAACTGTGCAACTCCGGTGTTTCTTTGCAAACTCTAATCTGGCCTTCTTATTTTGTTTACTCATCAGTGGTTTTTTAACTCCAATCCGACCAAAAAATCCAACTTTTGATATCGGGAATCATTCCTAGTACCTTGTGGTCGCCTAACATACCTTCTCCCATTTAGCTGACATTAGTCACAGTACTGTTTCACGTAGACTTACAGAAGTTGGATTTTTTGGTCGGATTGGAGTTAAAAAACCACTGATGAGTAAACAAAATAAGGAGGTCAGATTAGAGTTTGCAAAGAAACACCGAAGTTGGACAGTTAAACATTGGAAGAAAGTGCTGTTTTCGGATGAAACTAAAATTAATTTATTTGGAAATGATGGGAGAAGGTATGTTAGACGACCACAAGATACTAGGAATGATTCCCGATATCAAATACCAACAGTGAAGCACGGAGGAGGTAGCATTATGCTTTGGGGTGTATTTTCTTGGAAAGGCGTCGCACAGTGCGGAATAAGTGGACAAAATTCAATATTAGTATATATCGCAATGTGAGGCAGATTTCTATCGTAGAAAATGTGTGTCAGCGTGGAAATTGTTATAAATAATCATGTATCAATCATTTGTATCCATAATACAATCTTTATTTTTAAACAAACATACAGACAAAACGGCAAAATATATCCTGAGTTCTCAACATATTTGGATACATTATTTGTTATATTTTAAGAAACTTATAAGTTTTTTTGCAAATACTTGCAACGTTCGGTTTTACATAATTGTTAATAAGGGACCGTACTGTTGGTGTAGGGTCGCAATTGGAAGTTAAAAATTCTGATTTAATTGATTTATGGATTTCTATCAAAATTATTTTTCACATCCTCAGCCAAAATGAAGCATAGTGTGTTAAATAACATATGGGTGCAACTTCTATTACTTATGAGACAAAAATTCCTAAAGAATTCGAAATATAGTCTACTAAAGCGATAATTTTACAATATTACATCATTTTCCTGTATGATAATAATAAACTCGTACATACCGTTGGATTTAGAATAAAAAAACGCTTTTACTGATTCAGAAATAAATCAAAATTTTCAAAAATTTCGAGGAGGGGGGAAAAGGTAATTTAAAAAAAAAATTTGTTTTTTTTTTAATTTGTTAGTATTGGTTTATAGGCCTCTAAAAACAGTGTAAAGTTTGCTTGAACATTTCTTTTGAAATCTCTAATCGTTTCCGAGCAAAAGTAAAAAGGGCGGCCCGGATAAAAGGGTTAATTTCTCCCTTAAAACGCGAAATTCGCAGGTACTGAGGATGGTGTAATTCATAAGAAGGTCCCACAAACAAGTATACAAAGTTTCATCTAAATCGGGGTTTGTTAATTTTTTGTTAAATTTGTTAATTTTCTTGTGATTTTATTATGTTTATGGCTAATTTTAATTTTGTTGTGTGAATAAATAGCAATATATTTATATTAGTAATGAAATTTTGATTTTTGTCCACAATTTTGCTATTTGTCCGCACTGTGCGTCGGTCCAATTTACAAAATTGAGGGTACTATGGACGCACCTATTTATAGAGAGATTCTATCAGAACAAATGCTACCTTATGCCCGTCGAAATTTGCCACGAGAATGGATATTTCAGCAAGACAATGATCCGAAACATCGGTCTGGGTTGCTTCAGGAGTGTTTCACGAAGAATAAAATCCGAATTATAGATTGGCCGAGTCAATCTCCAGACTTGAATCCCATAGAACATTTATGGCAAGAGCTTAATCTAAGAATAGGAACTGTTAATTGTACCAATAAAGCTGCTTTATGGACAAACATTCAAGAAGAGTGGAGATACATCTCTCAAAATAGAATCATCAATAGACTGCGGATCTTTATGCATTTATAGGAAATTTGAATATGTAAGAAACTACAAAATGTAATCAATACGCAAAAATATAAAAAATATTGAAAGTAAAGTTCGCGTTATAATATTTACAGAATAGAATAAATTCTTATTTAGGTTCAATTTTCGTAGGCACGTTTGCGAAGATTTTATTTTGCATAAAGATCCGTAGTCTAATCATCAAACTTATTGAATCAATGCCTCACCGATGTGCCGCCGTGATAGCTTCACAGGGTATGGTTACTAAATATTGATGGTAATGTTACATATGTAACCATTTTTAACAATTTTTCCTTCAGTTATCGTGTTTTTCCTCCATGTTTTGTACTTGGCCGGATACTTATGAAGAAGTAAAAATTGTTATTTTTGTTATAAATAATTATTACTTGTTGTATACAATTTTTGAGTTGTACATTTCGATAGTATAATAAAAGCTCTTTACTATGATATATTTGTATTTCTACTTTACATCTATTATACATACTTTAATTCCAAAATTATTTTAATTAACTTTTGCATACACCTATACGTGTATGCATACATAGAATAGAATCGAGGATAGGATCGCGCAACCCCCGTAGTTAAAGGTTGCGCGGTCGCGTGCAACCTATCCCACTCTATACGTCCTTGATCCGGAAATATGCTTCTCCTTTTAGGCAATTACACCTGTATAAACGTAAGCGTAGCGGCGCCTTTTTTAACATTAGGTCCACTGGAAAGTTCTGTTCGTCTTTAGAATAAAACAAAATAGTAAATTTTTCACACTTTGAATAAATTTGATCGAATAATGTAATTTTTATCATTATTCACATCTTACCAGCGTATCTTTTTTAATGAATATACGCATACTTGAAATTTGTTGTAACCGAATCGTACAGAAATTTCCGGTCGATCTAAGTGATTCCCAAACCGTGAGCCGCGATATATCGATATACCGCGAATATAAATATTAAAGCTTCATATGAGCCGTTTATTATGAAAAAGGAGTAAGTCCAACATAATGAAAAAATGAAGTTAATGATGGATAAACTTTTATTCCGGTATTATCTTCATATTTTCATTCAATTTAGAGATTCGTCTTTTCAAAATCAATAAAATTTAAATAAAACAAAATTTCTTCTCGTTTGGCTTGACGCCGACGCCGACGCCAACGTTACGAAAACGAGATGCCTGGGATGCCAGGATAGCAGGACTCGCGAAAATTATTCCATTCTCCACTCTTTACGGAGAATCCGACACGTCCTATGTTTAGGTTTCCCATTACGAACGAAACGTGTACGCACGTAACGTACAAGTAGCTTTATTACTTGTCGTTAATTGAACGTATAATTTATGTATGTTTCAAGTTTTAATGCGCGCCTCAAGCGAATTGATATCCACGCAACGTTACCGTTGTTTTATGATTTCCAATCAATGTTGTACAGTTTTGCTCCGTTCGACGCGACAAGTTATTTGGAAGTTAGCAGAATGCAGGATCGTTAGTCGAAAGTGTAGGTAGGCTCGGATGCGCGTATATCGTCGAATAGGCTGGAATCGGGTTCGTCGTCGGGTTCGAATTCGATCTCCATTGGATCGATCTCAGCTGGAAGTCTTGGTACTCTAAACTGAGATTTCAATGCCGGACCCATCAAGTATGCTTCGACTTTTTCCCGAACGACTTTCTCGTCCTCGTTCCCATCGACTTTCACCGCGGAGTCCCCTGCGTATCGCAACATGTCGGCTACATTTTCTTCGTACTCTTGGAGCTGTAACTCAACGACAACTCTAATCAATGATTAGTAATCATCATCCGTTATCTAGCCTAAACGAATCTGTACATGCATGAAGGAGGGTTATGCTTCGATCGGTAAACGTATCGGTCGAGTGGTCGATGTGTTTGACGTTTTTCGGAGCGCCTTCGCGAGGTATCGTGACGCGTTTTTCGTTTGTTGTTGTTATTAAAACAATGCAGGAGTCATCTAAGACGATGATAAGAAGAATGGGAATAAGCTAGTAATAAGTAAGCAGTAGTGCCATAACTTTGTATAATAAGTTACGAACTTTAAATAAATGAATGAATGAGAGCTTGGGACTTTTTGTAAGTAGTCGGAACCAAGAACAGTCGTACGTATGGTCGTGTTTCGTCAGCTTTCTTTTATAGCTTTTCAATTTTACATTATTAATTATATTATATTTACAAGTTTCTCGCGTGTCTAATTTATTCGCCACCCTCGATCATCCCAAACCTACATGCATATTCACTGAAATCAATATTTCCAAATAATAATTTTCTCATAATACATACACACAGTTCGTCTAATAAGCATTTGTACAGGAACCATTTATTTTAAATTGACCGATGTACGAATACTTCTTACACTGACTGTGTATCCAGCTTGAATGAATCTGTACATGCATATTCACTAAAATAAATATTTCCGAATAATAATTTTCTCATAACACATACATACAGTTAGTGTAATAAGTATTCGTACAGGAACCATTTATTTTAAATTGGTGATATGTAGGATAGTACGTATCCTTACGTCTCGTTCGACGATTAGTCTGTAATCATTCGGATGTACAGCTAATTTGCAGTTATCCGTGTCGAGGTAATTTTTTGTAGACAAGGTGTGCTCGCTACCAGTGACGATGTTGTATCGGCGATTGAGCAACCTTTCTCTGCAGACATCGCCGTTTACCTCGAGAAAAATCACTCTGAAACATCGAGTACATCGAGTACATCGAACGAACATCATGTTTGCGCGAGCCTGAGCGAACGGATGGAAAAATATTGTAGCGTTATTTCGTCACCTATTCGGAGGAGCGGAACTCAGGTCCAACAGTTTAAAGTCGTCTACCGACTTTGGATAACCAGTCAACACCCAACCGTTCCTCGAGCATTCGTATCCTAATATGTGTTTCTGGAAGTAAAAACATTATTGTAGAACGTTATCATTTCGCGAGCGGCCAAAAGGATGAATATATTCGGATTGGTGTGAGTTCACCGAGAATCGTTTCGTCGATAATGTTTACATCGACATCGTTTCGCCGATACATTCAATTCCCCGGCAATGTTTACATCGACACTGATTTCACCGACACTGACTTTCGTCTATGTTGTTTTCAGCGGGAAAACCATTTACAAACTTTAAAAGGATACGTCTCAAAATTATACGCATGCTGAGGGACCCACCTGAAAGCAATTATACATCCCTCAGAGTAACTACAGTGGGTGTAGACAGTATTCGTACACCGATCAAATTTCCAAAAAAACTATGTAAAATTGTAATTTATTAACTTATTTTCGATAAACAATGACATTATACATATTCTCGAAAATCTCTAGAATATATAGAGTAAAAAAAAAATAGCTATTATTTATGTAAGTTGCGAGATTAACAAGAAAAAAACAATTAATCGATAGAAATATTGAGGCAATAAGTATTCGCACCACTATTGAATTTTTAAAACTTCATTAAAAAAAATAAAAATGTTTACATTAATTTATACAGTCAGTGTAAGAAGTATTCGTACAGCAACCAATTTGAAATAAATGGTTCCTGTACGAATACTTATTACACTGACTATAAGTATATAATACTTCCTCCGTGGGATTTCCTTTTGATTTTATAATTATTGTCACTCTTCTTAGCATTAAATTAACTAAATTATTAGTTATTCGAAGTGAGATCTTCTTCCATTCCTCTATTAAAGCCTTTTTTAAAAGTACTTTACTGAATTTGATGTTTTCTAATTCGTACATTGTCGGCGAAACGATCGTCGGTGATCTCACGCCAACCCAATCTATTCGTTAATTTGTTACTCGTACTTGAACAATTTCTATCCTGATCTCAGGCTTAGGTCTTCCTCCCCATCTGTACTCGAACGCTCGAAGCTTCTCTCCCAAAGGATTTTGCTGTAAACGTGCCTGTTCCGCGACGTAATCGTAATCGACTGCAATCAACGGTTTGTTCTCTCAGGTAGCTAACCTTGTCTCGTATCTACACGGTGTCCCAAAACTCGCGTAGGAAATGGGAGGTAGCTGAGACGATTCTGAACAACAATTTCCTTTGCAAAAATGTCGGTGGGAGCTTCGTTTTTGAATTATTAACGAGAAACACCTAGCAATTTTCGAATTTTTCGTTAATAATTCAAAAATGAAGCCCCCACCGACATTTTTCCAAAGAGAATTGTTGTTCAGAATCGTCTCAACTACCCACCATTTCCGGCTCCCACGAGAGTTTCGGAACACCCTGTACTATTATATTTAGTTTCCCTTATTTAATTAAATTGCACTTGTTCCTGTTTTTCCCTATCCCTATTCACCGATTCCTGAGTTACTCTATCACTCTCCCCCCTCAATCTCCTTATCATTTTCTGACCATACCCGTACAGAACAAAATAGTTTTATGATAATTGATTTATCCATTACAGAATTATGTGTGAGCATACATAAGAAGAATAAAGTTATCGAAATATGAACCTCTTAATTCTGATATCATCCTGAAAGAAAAGTCTAGCTCTATCCTTGTCTAAAAAGGTGTCGGATTACTAATTGCGGTCAAGTTAAGTTGTAAAGATCGATTTCCGACCGATTTCCGACCGATTTCACGACCTCACAAGATCCCTACCAGCAAGTATACTTGTACTGTGATAAGTAGACTGCGGATCTTTATCCAAAATAAAATCTTCGCGAATGTTCCTTCAAAAACTGAACCTAAATAAGAATTTATTTTATTCTGCAAATATTATAACATGAACTTTACTTTCAATTTTTTTTTATATTCTTGCATATTGTTTGCATTTTGTATTAGGTTGTCCGAAAAGTTTCTTTCGCTTTATTAATAAGTAATACATGCACAATAGTTTATGTTTTATGTTACATTACTGAATTGTTCACGATTCATTTTGCTCCATTACTGTTACAACATGAATATCTATGGAATTAGATTGTCTCTTTATATAAACACGACCACATCAAATAATTGAATGGAACTCGCGAAAGAAACTTTCGGGACAACCTAATAGTTTCTTGCACATTAAAATGTCCTATAAATGCATAAAGATCCGCAGTCTAGTAATAAGTCAATCGAAACGTAAATATATCGTTACTGTGATCAAGGTTGAATCTCTCGGCCAAGGATTTCGCTAAAGCGTTACAACCGGATCCTCTGGACCCAATAAGCGCGATGCGAAATACCGACGGCGACGCCATCGGTGCTCTGGAATGTTTCCTTGTTTTCGCTAATTTCGCGATGTCTCTTCCAAGTTCGTCAACGGTTCGGATTCCAACTTCGACCTCCTTCGAACAAACCGTATTTACACCGTCTTACTCTCGTAGGAGTCTAAACGAAAAATAAGGAACGGAGATTCGAATCCACGATCCTCGGATCCACAGTCGACCGCTTTACCTATGCGACCAATCCCGCACCCTACGTTTCGTGTTCTCGTTTCACTCGTTATTCTTGAGAATGACGCGCGAATACTCCACTATTCTACAGGGTGTCCTAGCCTCATGTTTCAGCGAGAAGGAATTTTTGTTAACTTTGTTATTTAACGAGATATGATGGTCAAGTTCCGTTTTTCAAATGGAACTATATATTTTTGTTTATACCATGCGATAGTACTTTTCAAGACGAATTCATTAAGCTTTAATGTATTTACCCGATTTTTATTAGTTTTCGAGCTATACGGTTTCAAAGTTTGCTAATTTTCAAGGGAAAAACTCTGTTCGGCCCCGGGCGGTCCCATTAATGAAGTAAGCACCATGCGGTTCTTGAAATTGATACCGAGGGTCTCGTTTGGGATTCTAGGCCCAAGGAAGTTTAGTGAAGTTAGCAACCCGAAATGCAAATTTTGATAAAAATCAAATTTGTTACATTCGTTTGTCCACGATTTGTCCACGTTTGTCCAACCACAATTTTCATTTGTCCACCCTTCAGAAAAAAGTTACACCACAAATAAGCCATTTGAAGTGAACACACCTATATAGACCTTTTTTTAGGGTTTTCTTAAAAAATGTGTCTCTCTACATTTTGTCCACTAATGTTTTTCGGTTGTCCAACAAGTATTTTCGTTTGTCCAATCGATATTTTCGTTTGTCCACCCCTCAGAAAAAAAATACACTTCAATTAAGGAGAAGTTGCAGCGATAAGCTCGGTTGCGAGTCATTTGTCCTCGTTTTGTCGATTTTGTAGCTAATTATTTATGTCTGCGCAGAACCACTAACGTTATTTGTTTTTTCAATTAAAGTTTTCGTTTGTGTAACCCTTAGGAAAAGGTTATGCATAGATTAGGAAAATGTAGTATCGCTACTTACACTTACGTATCATGTTCACCAATTTAATAATTATTAAGGTGAATATGCATGGTTACATACCGTTGGAAGCAAATTAACAGTTAAAATGTAGAAATTGTTTGCGCAATGGCTATTGCAACATTTTGTTCATATTTTAATTATTCCTCTTTCCCCGTTATTACGTAACATGTCAATAATATTAATTTAAAAAACAAACAAATAACGTTAGTGGTTCTGCGCAGACAGTTAGAGCGTATTGCTGCAACTTCTTCTTAATTGAAGTGTATCTTTTTTCTGAGGGGGTGGACAAACGAAAATACTTGTTGGACAAACGAAAAACATTAGTGGACAAAATGTAGAAAGACACATTTTTTAAGAAAACCCTAAAAAAAGGTCTATATAGGTGTGTTCACTTCAAATGGCTTATTTGTGGTGTAACTTTTTTCTGAAGGGTGGACAAATGAAAATTGTGGTTGGACAAACGTGGACAAATCGTGGACAAACGAATGCAATTTGATTTTGATCAAAATTTGCATTTGTGGGTGCCAACTTCACGAAGCTGCCCAAGGAAGAAAAATGGAAAGAATCCCAATATTCTGGGCCTACAATCCCAAGCGAGACCCTTCGTATTGATTGAGGCGGGACACCCTGTATGCGAGACTCGTGTAACTGGTGTTGAGCATTCAACGCAACCCAACGCAAATATAACGAAACAAGAATATTTTCAAATAATACCTACAACTGATCGCACAAAATTACGATTACAATTGATTGTCGAAAAGGAAATAAAACGGTTTTCATATTTTTTTTTATGTTTCAACGTCGCCAGCAAAACGAACCTCAAATACTAGGATACTAGGACCCCGAGTGTCGTTTGATCGGAAAGTTCTTATGGACAATCTTACTGACTATTAAACAATTCGCGTACGCTTCCCGCAGTTCCCGCAATTTTCTCGAATAACGAGCATCTTCCAATTTTTTCGGCAAATTAATCGAATTACAAGCTTTACTGCAACAAGCGTCCTTGCAACCGTGTTCCCATTCCCAGTTGTCTGCAAGAAGAGATCGAATCGGGTGGATAATACGTATGTATATTAAAATAATAACGGGTATTCGAAAAAGTTCGTGGCGTTTTGTCGCTCGATCGAGGCGAGGATGCTACGCAGGCTTGTGAACAAATTTGTGGTGTTTACGGACAAAATGCTCTATCAAAATTTCGATGCCACATATGCATCACGCTGTGGTCAACCAACCACAGAACAACGCGATGAAATCTATGCGAATGGCTGAGAAACGCCACGAACTTTTTCGAATACCCAATATGAATAATCCAATTCACAAATAACTGCGAGAATGGGTTTGTTATCGAGCTTTTACCGGTATCGTTTGATGTTATCAACTGTATCGCGTGAGTCGGTAGAATTCCGTAACGTTGAAACACTCGTGCCTCCTTCCTCGAGCGCGGTAAATCTGTAAAAATTTGTAGAAAGAAAAGAAATCCGTAAACGATAGACAAGACGAAAAGAGAGAAGAGATGACATCGTTTTTAAACGTTACCAATGAGCAGCCACCCGCATTCGTGTAGCATTCCGTTTTCGAGAATTCTTCTCATAGCCAACGCAACATCTTCCGATTCCACGCAGTGGCAGACTTTCTAACGAAACAAAAACTTGCTTTTCGAGAAAATGAAAAAACACTTCGATACGCGTTTCGCTTACGTCTTTTTCGAGATCTTTTAAAGCCAAAGGACGAATACCCAACTCCTCCTGAAGAACTCTCGACAGAGCCACTCTATCTGTTTGTACGAAATACATATACGTGCGGTGTATTCATGTTTTTTTTTCTCGATTCCATCATTTTACGCGGATACATTCAAAATGAAACTAAACTCTCTGCGCACCAGTACATCGGTGCACACAGCTTAAACACGAAAATGTTTCGGCAGATCTGCAGGTTGATGCTGTAAAAGCTTAATCGTTTCCACCGTCGAAACACTTTCGTGTTTAAGTTGTGTGCAGCGCTGTACTGGTGTGCAGAGAGGAGATTCATTGGTGAAATGGTTCGAGTCAGGTATGAGATTTTTTTACAGTGGGTGTAGAATGTATTCGTACACCGAATTTCCCAAAAAACTTTTGCGTGAAATTGTAGTTTCTTAACTTCTTTTTTTATAATCAATGATATTTTACATATTCTCGGAAATCTCTAAGATAGATATAGTATATCCAAACAACAATCGCTACTTTATAGAATTTGCGAAATTAAGAAGAATAAACGAAAAATTGGTATAAATGTAGAAGCAATAAGTATTTATACGATTCTTATGACGAACAATTTACAGTAGAGTTTGTAACGTAAACACATTAGTTTGTTGCTCCGTACGAATTAGAAAACATTGAGTTTCCGCGAAGGTACTTAAAAAAAAAGGCTTTAATAGGGGAATTGATGAAGATCCCACTTGGAATAACTAATAATTTAGTTAATTTAACGCTTTGAAAATTTACAATAATTATAAAATCAAAAGGAAATCCCACGAAGGAAGTATTATATACTTGTAAATTAATGTAAATTTTATTCTTTTTAATGAAGTTTTAACAGTTAAACAGTTGTGCGAATACTTATTGCTTCGATATTTCTATTGATTAATTGTTTTTTTGTTTTGTTAATTTCGTAACTTACATAAATAGCTATTTTTTTGTACTCTATCTATTCTAGAGATTTCCGAGAATATGTAGAATGTCATTGTTTATAAAAAATAAGTTAATAAATTATAATTTTACATAGTTTTTTTGGAAATTGATCGGTATACGAATACTTCCTATACCCACTGTAGTTTTAGACGGCGAATCGATTCGAAATCGAATGAAAATGGACTAAGCAAGCATGTATCGCGTCAAAGTACAGAGTACTCGGAGGTATAATTTTTTCCTCGCGAAGAATCGACACACTTAGACGTTAAACGACAACCTAACCCGGACCTTTCCAACGTTAAACGATAACCTAACCTTTCCAACAACAATAACATTTTCGTTGGGGAACTCGAGGCATTAACCGTGACAAAAAGTGTGATGTAAGGCGAGGCGGTAAGGGTCGTAAGAATAATTGACGTGACTCACAGCGTAATGCTTTTTCGTCACACTTTTGCGTCACACTTTTCACCAATATCCCTCCGATCTATAAAACACTTTCGTGTTAACCCTTTGCGCTCGTGTGGCCCCTCTAAGGCGACATATATAATTTAAAAGTGATTTTTTGAACGTACAATATCAATTTTACTTATTTCAGAATACAGCTAATTATTAATTGAAATAATAATACATCAAGTCACGAATGTTCGTAGATGTTTTTCTTCGAAGTAGAGCTTTTGGTTTTACAGAAAATTATAAAAATGAACTGGACATGATTCTATAAAAAAATGTCTCAAGCGCAAAGGGTTAAAAAAGATCTTTTCTTTACCAAACGTTGGAGGTGCGATAAGAATAATCCTGGGAACATCCATCCTTTTCATCGCGAGATGGACGTACTGCTTCATAAATACAAGATGATCGTCCGGTTTTTGTATCATCAACTGAACAGCAATGTCCTAATAGGCAACGTCCTTGAAATTTATGGAGTAATCGCGAAGATGTTCGTGGTACATGAAGGTTATTTACGTGGAATAGTTGGTATATTCGATGTTTCTCCAAGTATGCTACGAATCGTGCATTCACAGAACGCATTCTCTTTTCCGTTTCTTGCAATTCCATTTTCCTATCTCGGTATTATATTATGTTATATTATATCTCGACGGTGTCGAAAAATCTTTCCATCTTACTACATTTCGTATTATCTTAGAATGCGCCACGTTTATTTGTACGTACAATATTTCATTCAATTGTTCGATGGCATGGTACCTATAATATTATTCAAATGTTACGTCTGATGCGTGACATTTAATTAATGCGAAAAATATCTCTTTAGCTCAGATATCAACTTGTTTGTTTCTATTTGCCTTGTCATATTAACCCTTTGCATTAGAAGCCTTTTTTTCTGGTATCTATCAGCAACTCGAGTTTTTCTTAACACTTTACCGACCGGTAGCCGATTAATCGACTTTTTGTCCCCAATGCTCACCGACCGGTAACTGCTATGGTAACTAGCAAGTATTTGTTACTTTGAATTGAGATACAAGTTGCTTTGCTCTGTAAACTCTCATATTTTTATACAATTCCCGGTGCCAGGGAAGATCTGCTGCCGAGCTGCCGTGATTCTGGAATTGGTGTATCAATGTCAAATTTTGGGCACTTTATGTGACGAAATACTAATTCAAAACACGAGAATTTACTTCTAATCGGTCGCGATCAATATTCATTTATACGCAACACTAATGGCACACGCGGTTGATATTTATATGCAACACTACGGTGAAAGGAAACGCGAAAAATACTAATCAAAGCAAACGAGAAAGATTGCAGCCATTAGCTCATATTAATTAGTATGGAATTGATAATGCCATCTGGCCTTACTAGAGATGTACAGTTAGCAATTACATACTTAAATAATATAGAGGGCCCAGGTCTCACCACGTGAAGATTACTGCATATAGAGACCCAAAAAAATTGGGTGGCCAAGACAAAAACCACATCCTAGCCACCTTTATCCTTAATCTAAATTTTGTGTGTGTGTGTGTTGTATGGCCCGCCCCGGCCGGGAGTGTAGTACCCCAAATTAAAAAAAAAAAA